GGTGATCTGATCTGATCTCTCTCAAGAGTCAAGACTTGACTTGTTCATCGTTTACTGTGTTGAGTGTTGTTTTGGTTATTACGAATTGTGTGTATATATATGTAGGCAATGCCAAAGTTTGTATGTAGTGATCAAACTATGGATCACTAACCTTGATACTATTAGGAAAATAAATAAAACAATTCTGATTTTTTTTTCTTTTGTACTAAAGTTTTTGGAATAGTAGACATAAGAGAGCAAAATAAGTGTTGAACAAAGGTTGAATGATGATTTACAAGAATTCAATAATCACAAAAACAAAAAGAATTAACTAATTTTTGAAATAGAAAAAGCGATAATGAAGTATGCAACTGACAAGAAATGAAGCGGCATGAATTTCATTGTTTTTTGTGGCATGAATTTCATTGTTCACCACAGAAAATTACGAGTTATGACCAATTATGCTAGGTCCATATTATCACTATAAATCTAGTTTTCATAAATGAATAAATTTGACACTGACTATTTTTTTATAAACTACAGTAGTATACAACTTCCAAATGTTTTTATACGAATGTATCGATGATTAAGAAGCCAAGTTATTGTAAACATATTTTTATGTAGGAAATAAGGTGAGGAGATATTTGGCACATGTGTATATTGCCATCAATCTACCCCTCTCACCTACTACTCTTCTCCTCCTACGGCAATAACGACGCCGTTTCTTCAACCCCATTAGTTAGGTGTGTGTGATTATAAATTAATATGATATACACAAAAATTATTACAAATCATATAAATTATTATTTTCAGATTATAAAAAGTTTACATCAACCAACTTTTTTTTCTTTAATTGTTCATCCTTTGAACATCAACGGGTCGTTTATACACAGCCCTGTTAAATACTTTTTGTTGCGTATTTGACCATTTATTTTATTTAATTATTTCATATTAATTCTCGATTTGAGCGTTTCTTTCTTTTTAAATTGCAAATCAAATTATCTCAAGATTTTGGCTCTGACCATCAGTGACCACCGAT